TGAAGGGGAAAGGAGTCCAGGAGAGCTGGCTATATTTCAAGGAATCCCTGTTGAGGTTACAGGGACAAACCATCCCGATGTGTCGAAAGAATAGTAAATATGGCAGGCGACCAGCTTGGCTTAACGGTGAAATCCTAGCGGATCTTAAGCATAAAAAAGAAGCTTACAAGAAGTGGAAGGCTGGACATATGACCAGGGAGGAGTATAAAAATATTGCTCGGGCATGTAGGAATGAAATCAGGAGGGCCAAATTGCACCTGGAGCTGCAGCTAGCGAGAGATGTTACGAGTAACAAGAAGGGTTTCTTCAGGTATGTTGGCAACAAGAAGAAAGCCAAGGAAAGTGTGGGCCCCTTACTGAATGAGGGAGGCAACCTAGTGACAGAGGATGTGGAAAAAGCTAATGTACTCAATGCTTTTTTTGCCTCTGTCTTCACGAACAAGGTCAGCTCCCAGACTGCTGTGCTGGGCATCACAACATGGGGAATAGATGGCCAGCCCTCAGTGGAGAAAGAGGTGGTTAGGGACTATTTAGAAAAGCTGGACGTGCACAAGTCCATGGGGCCGGACGAGTTGCATCCGAGAGTGCTGAAGGAATTGGCGGCTGTGATTGCAGAGCCATTGGCCATTATCTTTGAAAACTCGTGGCGAACGGGGGAAGTCCCGGATGACTGGAAAAAGGCTAATGTAGTGCCAATCTTTAAAAAAGGGAAGAAGGAGGATCCTGGGAACTACAGGCCAGTCAGCCTCACCTCAGTCCCCAGAAAAATCATGGAGCAGGTCCTCAAAGAATCAATCCTGAAGCACTTACATGAGAGGAAAGTGATCAGGAACAGTCAGCATGGATTCACCAAGGGAAGGTCATGCCTGACTAATCTAATTGCCTTCTATGATGAGATTACTGGTTCTGTGGATGAAGGGAAAGCAGTGGATGTATTGTATCTTGACTTTAGCAAAGCTTTTGACACGGTCTCCCACAGTATTCTTGTCAGCAAGTTAAAGAAGTATGGGCTGGATGAATGCACTATAAGGTGGGTAGAAAGTTGGCTAGATTGTCGGGCTCAACGGGTAGTGATCAATGGCTCCATGTCTAGTTGGCAGCCGTTGTCAAGTGGAGTGCCCCAGGGGTCGGTCCTGGGGCCGGTTTTGTTCAATATCTTCATAAATGATCTGGAGGATGGTGTGGATTGCACTCTCAGCAAATTTGCGGATGATACTAAACTGGGAGAGGTGGTAGATATGCTGGAGGGCAGGGATAGAATACAGAGGGACCTAGACAAATTGGAGGATTGGGCCAAAAGAAATCTGATGAGGTTCAATAAGGATAAGTGCAGCGTCCTGCACTTAGGACGGAAGAACCCAATGCACAGCTACAGACTAGGGACTGAATGGCTAGGCAGCAGTTCTGCGGAAAAAGACCTAGGGGTGACAGTGGACGAGAAGCTGGATATGAGTCAGCAGTGTGCCCTTGTTGCCAAGAAGGCCAATGGCATTTTGGGATGTATAAGTAGGGGCATAACGAGCAGATCGAGGGACGTGATCATCCCCCTCTATTCGACATTGGTGAGGCTTCATCTGGAGTACTGTGTCCAGTTTTGGGCCCCACACTACAAGAAGGATGTGGATAAATTGGAAAGAGTCCAGCGAAGGGCAACAAAAATGATTAGGGGTCTGGAACACATGACTTATGAGGAGAGGCTGAGGGAACTGGGATTGTTTAGTCTGCGGAAGATAAGAATGAGGGGGGATTTGATAACTGCTTTCAACTACCTGAGAGGTGGTTCCAGAGAGGATGGTTCTAGACTATTCTCAGTGGTGGAAGAGGACAGGACGAGGAGTAATGGTCTCAAGTTGCAGTGGAGGAGGTTTAGGTTGGATATTAGGAAAAACTTTTTCACTAGGAGGGTGGTGAAACACTGGAATGCGTTGCCTAGGGAGGTGGTGGAATCTCCTTCCTTAGAAGTTTTTAAGGTCAGGCTTGACAAAGCCCTGGCTGGGATGATTTAATTGGGTATGGCTTTTGAGCAGGGGGTTGGACTAGATGACCTACTGAGGTCCCTTCCAACCCTGATATTCTATGATTCTATGATTATGATTCTATGACTGTGTTTGTGTATTTACATTGGTGCGAGTGTGCGATGATATTGCAGAGGGTTTGCGTGGAGGTCCATAGTGGGAATGAGTTCCAATGCAGAGGCCTGGGGCCCATGTCCCATGCTCACGAGTCCCCCTTTGGCTTGGCAGTTCCATTGTCCCAGTGGAACGGCGCTGCCAGGGGAGATCACGATTGTCGTGGGCGAGGCATCTCTCTCATCGCTGTGACCAGTCGCACGGAGGGCTCTGAACATCATTGTTCTGGACTCTGTTTCCAAGGGGTGGCCTGAGTGGAGTGGGGTGTTGGGCTGATGTTTCTGGGAGCCCAGTGCTGACATATGCAGTGGGGTCTAACCCTGGTCAACGGCTATTTGGGAGCGATGGATGGTAGATTGAGTAGAGGCCATGTTGGCTCTTCTTCTTTGCTTATGGAAGACAGTCTTTACTCAAAGAGGGCTAGGAATTCTTCATTGTCATGCTCAGGGATATGAGCAGGACTGAGGAGATGACAAATCAGGGCTGACGTATATCAGAGACCTTCCTGACAGCAAGCTGTAGTAGATTGTGGTGTTGCTCCCCAGGGAAGAGGTGGGAGCCCCGGGGCTTGGATCTTCTAAAGGTCAACTAGACAAAGCAGTAGAAAATCTATCTATGTCTGTTTCTGTTGCAGTGGGAGCAAGTTATTGAGTGAAGTGTACATCCATGCTGGCATACCACCCAAACACCTGAGCAGTCTAGACCTGCATAGGCAGGTGCTTAGATATCAGCAAAGTGCATAGATACAGATTTTTTAGGGCCAGAAAGGACCATTATGCTCATGTACTCTGACTTTTTATTATCTGAGCGCCAAGGTGGGTGAAGTAATATCTTTCGTTGGACCAGCTTCTGCAATACAAGGTATTATCTGCCCAACCTTGTCTCTCTAATATTCTGGGACCGACGTGGCTACAGCTACACTGCTTTTATTATTTGTGGTTTCGTAGTCGTGGGCCCGGCCCCCATTGTGCTAGGGATGGGTGAACTATGGTCAGACCTTTCCCATCTGAAACGTCTCTAATCCTCTGAAGAAGCCACGGCCAACCCACAGGTCTTAGCACAGGGGAAGGGGTTCTCCTGGCCCAATGCGTACGCACATTCCTCTCTCACATGACCCGGGTTTTCTGCTGTCCTTGGTGAAACAGTTCTGCTGACCAAAGTGTTGACGCAGACTGGTCCTGACGCGTACCCTGCATTTCCCCCTGTCTTGGCCCGTTTAACTAGCCTGCATGATCCCTGACCCTCTTGTTTGCTACAGACCGTCAGCTTTTCCCTCTCTCCTAAGCTGCGTGGCCCCAGTTCCTCCCTCTCTTTAGATAGGACATGCTCTCTGTTGCTTCTGGTGCTTTCATTGTCACCTTCGGGCTCTCTCTGGTGTGCAAATCTCCCAATAATGTGAGGCAGATGGAACAACGTGCTCCCACCGGGTCCTCTGGGTCTGGCCAGAACACGCTGTCCAGAGAGGACAGTCCTTGTGCTATCCCATAGGCACAACACGGTCTCAAACACAAGTGACGGCTGCCCTGGGCACAGACAGCTGCAGACACTCTCCCTGAGAGCTTGTAACAGCACACCTGGTTCTGTATTTTGCACCACCCGCAGGTGTGTGAGGTGTGGGGATGGGAAGATGAGGTCCCTGCCCCAGAGCACTTACCATCTAATTTCAGCCATCAGGCACCAAGAGGGAAGCGGAGGTGGGGAGATGGATGAGGGTTGCAGAACTGAAACTCTGCAATTACTCAGCAAAGCTCGCTCCTCCTGGAAAGGGCATTAGCAGGGCATTAGCAGGCGGTCGTGCATGGATATAATAGTCATTGGGTGCGATGTTCCCTGGCTCTGCGCTCTCCATTAAATATGGGTGCCAGTGGGTCTCTGGGGTTTCTCACTCTGGCCCTGAAAACAGTTCAACCCCAGAACAGGTCAATGAAACTTGGGCTCCAGCAGTTTCCCCGTAGCCACCACCCTCTCTGCACGCATGCCGTCTTGGTATAACACATCAATCGCACGCATGTAGCTCAGCCTGGTGGGCTGCCCATGTTCTCAAAGCTGACGTCACAGAGCAGGAGAAGAGGAAATCCGACCACGGCAGGCGTCGCCGAGCGATGTCTTCTGGCCTGTGTTCTGCAGGAGGTCAGGCCAGAGGATTGCAGGGGCCCCTTTTGGCCTTGACCTCTGTGAATCAATTCAGTCTCATTGGAGTGTGTCACTGGCCAGTGGGTAGTGCTTGATTGTTATGTCCATTACATGAGAATAACGTCCAGCTGAGACAAGCTGGAATGTACTATCTACATGTGCGTGTGTGTGTGTGTGTGTTCTACAGAGAGGATAAGAGACCTATTATTGCTACCAGCTCAGGGAGAGCTCCTTTTGCTCATGTGTCGGAAGTTTTTGTTCTGGCAGCAGAAGCTCCAGGGTCCTAGGCCCAGCTCCCAAAGTGTGTGTGTGAGTTGCACAGCTTTAGCAGTGATAAGTTGCAGGGCTAACACACACCTCGAGTGCGTCTGCTCCGAGGATTATGCCCTCTCTAGGGGCTGGCAGCCAGCTGGTAGACACACCAATTAGGGAACCGGGTCTAGGGATGCCTCCTGTGGGTGATCTGCTGGCCAGGTTCTGATGCAGCGTAGAATCCAGCCCTCCCAAGCAATACAGGAAGCCACATGGAGGTCTTTAGAGTTAGAAGCCGGATGGCAGGGGTTGGGTTTTTTGCCTGGGCCTGTGAGGTCCTCCTGGGTCAGAGTTTCCATTGCACAATTACGGCAGTGAAATCCTCTTGCATTCAGCGCGTCCCCACCTCTCCGCGCTTCCTCCATCGCACAGACCAGAGTGATGAGGACGTCCCCATTAGTAATCTAGGTCTCTGCTTCCCGGCAGCCTCGCCCAAGGAGCCAGTGCTGATGTGTCGATCCAACAACTACCCCAAGGGATTCTACTGCAGTTGGCACCTGCCTAGTCCCACGTACATCCCCAACACCTTCAATATCACCGTCATGTAAGTGCCTGGGTCCGGGGGGGCGGGGAGGGGAGAGGTGCATCTTTGTGTGGGGCAATTTTGTCTCTGGGCTGAGGGGTAAATCTGGAATAAATCTGGAGTCGCTCCTTGGAGTGCCCCCAGGTTCACAGCACAGACACAGAGCACCTAAGAGATATCCTGGTGTTGCTGCATGTCCCAGAAATGGGCCAGCCAGCTGTGCACAGCAGTGACGTTCCGGTGACATCCAAACCAGCGTCCTGGTGCAGGATGTGACCCCTAACTGAGTCACCCCTGAGCCCATTCAGATCCTATTCCTGGGCGTCAGGGCCAGTCCACACCACCTCCTTCTCCACATGGGGAAATAGCTCCCAGCTGCTATTCACCTGCCAGCCATTCCGGTTTAAATTCATTTGTCTTGGCCAAGTGCCATCACATCGCTAGGCTTCCCCCAGCCCTCTTGGCCTGCTGGAACGCAGCTGGTGCTACAGGGGGGAGCGTCATCCATTTCCGTGTTGCTTCGGGCAATTCCTACACGATCACATAGCTACCTGCCCGCAGGAGCCCACGGAGAACTTGTGGTGGTCCCTAGACACTGCCCAAAGGACAGACTCTCCCATCACAGACAGCAGTACCACTGCCGGGATGGGCGGATGAGGGAATTGGGAAGGCAGCCCTTCAGCTCTCTGGTGCTGGTTGCTTCCTGTGAGGTGGCCACCGGCTGGCCTGTGTGAAATTAGTTCGTAATCTCCATCCTCACAGGGAGGAGTCCACTCCACTCCAAATCAGGATTAACACTGGCCCTAACCCTGCCTGCATATGGACAGGGAGCTGCTGGCTCCTCTCCGCATCCAGGTGGAGCGGGGCGCATAGGGAAGTTTGCACTGCAGCTGCCCACTGGCCTTGTTCTGTGGATGAATCAATGGGTTTCTGGCTCCAGGGCTGTCAATCAGCACAAACTCCCCTTTCCCGATGGTTTAAAGTCATGCAGGGCACGTGAGCCTGGGGCATCCCCTTTGGAAGGAGGTAACCTCTTGGGTGCTGGAGCTGGCGTGGCACCTTGTAGCCCCGAGAGGTGGGGTTGCAGCTTCGCACCGGGGTGATGGCAGGATCCAGGCAGAAGTTGTGATGGTGCACCTGAGGTCTGAGCCAAAGAGGGGGCCGCCCAGGGGAAGATGGAGGAGTGACGAGCCTCCCTAAGGCTGAGGGCAGGTCTGAGCAGAGAAGAGGCATGATAATTAAGGCCAGGCTGGAGCACAGGGATGCCAGCATGGCACCAATCCTGGGCCCCAGTGAGCCTGTCCCGCTGAGTGCTGATCCTCGGGGTAATGCCTGTTTTCTCTTCTTTTCTGGTTTTGACAGGCATGGCCCGAGAGAGTTGGTCTGTGAGAAAGACGCTTTCCCCAAAAACAGGTGTCACATCAGATATCTCCAGCTGTTCTCCACGGTGAAGTACAAGGTGACCTTGACAGTCACGAATGCCCTGGGCAGAAACGCCACCACAATCACCTTTGACGAGTTCGCCATAGGTAACTTCCCTGGCCGGCGCTGGGCTCTCAAAAGAGCCGGGCGGGCGGTTTGACTGGTTCTTAGTGTGGCACGAGGCTGCCTGTCTTAGTTCCTGGATGGTAGTGCTGGGGAGAGGTGCCCGGTTGACAGCGCTGGAACAGAGCCTTTGTTATCCACAGATTATCCAGGGCAGAGCATGGATGTGTCCTACCCATGTTCTGCAGGGACTCCCTCAAGTCAGGAGAAGGGAGTATGGTCTCCATGGTCCATATAGCCCATTGGCTCCTCTGCTATTGGAAAGAGAGTCCATGCCGACTAAAATGATGCTTCACTGAACGTTTTGCTTAGGACACGGGCTGTGACTAGGTTTTGCCAGTTTTGGTTGGACGTGTTCCTGGGGTTTTCATCCCATGACACAATCTTTAATTAAAGATTAATCTTTTAATTTCTGGAAACTCCAGGACAATCCTGGCAGGTTGGTAGCCCTAGCTGGGACCACTAGTGAGGCCACCAAACAGCTGTCCGATGACAATGCGATGTGGTCACCACAGAGCGAAGCAAGATTTGAACAGGTAGCCCCCGAGCCATCTGATTCCCAGCTTACAGCCTGGTGTGTTGCTCGTTTCCCATCTCGGGCTGCCGGGATCAAAGGCGATAACTGAGCTGTCAGAGCAGTCCCCAAAATGCACTCTCAGCTCCTTTCCACTCAGACGCAGCTTGGGGCAGGAAGCAGGCCTCCTTTGGAGCAGCGTCACTGTCCACCTCCCATTCTGAGCAGGGAGAAAGAAGTTCCCGCAGGGAACTGGTGCATGAAAAGAGGGGTTTGCTGTTTGTACCAGACTTACTCCATCCCTGTTTTCACTCATCCAGTCAGGGAGTGGAAATAATCGTGCCCCAGGTGACTCGGCTGCCCAATCACTTGCCATGAGCAACAGATGGTCACAATGAGCAATTCAGGAAAAGCCTATAGGCCGAGTTGTGTTCCCGTAAAGCGATGGATAAATAGCTCCTTTGTCTCGGGTTCCGTGTGGTTTGGTATTAGGTACCTGGAGAGAGACAGACATCTCTTAGGAGAGGGAACAGCCACCAAAACCACAGCAGAGAAGTGGGACAGGCTGTTGTTACTGAGCATGTGCACTGCGTTAGCACCTGGAGGCCTCGGTCTAGCCAGGGCCCCATCGTGCTGGGTGCTTTCCAGGCAAACAATAAAAGCCCATTCCTGCCCAGTAAATGCACAATCTTCATCTAAGGCAAGAGCTGAGTGGCAAAAGCACACAGGAGAAGGAGGATTAGCTGTGATATCATTATTATTTATGTGTATTATCCTAGCCCTTAGGAGCTCTAATCCTAGACCAGCACCCTGTTGTGCTAAGTTCTGTGTCCACAATTCATAGGTGACTCCAGCTGCCCATTCGGCAGCAATCTCAGCCAGCCACCTGCCCAGCTGTAATGTACAATGGATCCTTATTGAGCAGGCAGCTGGGATTCAGGAGCCAGTTGACCCACATGGTGGCACCTGGCCTAACCCCTCACTGGGTCGCTTGTTGCTATTCTAAATGTAATAATGGTCATAATCACATGGATGCCACAGTGTTGGGTGCCATGATAAGAGCCCAAAAAGAATGGAACCTGGATATTAGATGGGGTGGGATCTGAGTTACCCAGGAAAGAATTTTCTGTAGTATCTGGCTGGTGAATCTTGCCCATATGCTCAGACTGATTGCCATATTTGGGGTCGGGAAGGAATTTTCCTCCAGGGCAGATGGGAAGAGGCCCTAGAGGTTTTTCGCCTTTCTCTGTAGCATGGGGCATGGGTCACTTGCTGGAGGATTCTCTGCTCCTTGAAGTCTTTAAACCACGATTTGAGGACTTCAATAGCTCAGACATAGGTGAGAAGTTTTTCGCAGGAGTGGGTCAGTGAAATTCTGTGACCTGCGTTGTGCAGGAGGTCAGACTAGATGATCATAATGGTCCCTTCTGACCTTAGTATCTGTGAATCTCTAGTGTCCCTCATCTCAAGGGAACCCAAAGCCCCGTACAACCCACAGATGAATGACATCATCAGTGGTATCACACTTTCCATTTGGCTTTGATTCTGTCTGTGTAGGTCTAGAAAAGCTTTGGCTGAGTCTAGGAGCATCTCAGACTTTGTCATAACCTGCTGGATGGAGCAATTAAGATGAAACTACCACAGATATTCTTGTGTTTCTGGTTCGAGCCAAAACCAGACCCAAAAGGTAAACACAAGAATTAACCAGCTTGCCTTCGGTTTCCATCAAAATTCAAGTTTTCTTCCTTTTGAGTTGGGAGAGAAGGCTTGGGGGAAGTATGTGTTTTACCAAAATAATATTCTTTAAAAAACAATAGAGAGAAACAAGCCCAGAAACAAGTAAAATAATTTGTTGGTTTCACGAATGCACCATCAATTATTGGGCCATGGGAGCAAATAAATGATGTTCCCAGTGTTCAGTCAATGCATTTGATGCAGTGCATATGTCAGGTCTGGGAGAGAGAAAGGTGGGCAAAATCCATGGTTGGTGTAAGCAGGTGAAACTCCCTGGGTTTCAGCTGAGTTGCTTTCTCTCATGCCAAGATGGATTTGGCCCCTGTGTGGTCCTAAATTCAGAAAAATTCAAACCGGAAATAAAGCACCAAATCTTAACAGTGAGGTAACTGTGAACCCTGTGGGTCCTGTGTTTGTACAGCACCCGGCACAATGGAGTCCTGGTCCATGACTAGGGCTCCTAGACACTATGGTAATACAGATTAATCCTAATAATAGCAGTTGGAACAACTAGCCCAGGGCTGTGGTGTATTGTCCATCACTTGGAGTTGTTAAATCAAAACTGGTGGTCTTTCTAAAAGACATGCTCCTTAAACTAAGGTGACCTCTACTTCCACTACAAGTTGTTGGACTCAATGCAGGACTCACTGGGTGAATTTCTATGTCCAGTGTTATGCAGCAAGTCCCACTAGATGATCATACTGACCCTTCTAGCCTGAACATCTACAGAAACAATATGTTTACAGGTTTCAGAGGAACAGCCGTGTTAGTCTGTATTCGCAAAAAGAAAAGGAGGACTTGTGGCACCTTAGAGACTAACCAATTTATTTGAGCATGAGCTTTCGTGAGCTACAGCTCACTTCATGTTTACACTTGCAGAGAGTAAGGTGATAGGCGCCCCAGTGAGGAGTAAGTAGGCAGCTGGGGAGACGGCAGAGAAATTATGGGAGGAAGTCATCGGCAGAGAACCTACTCAAACCTTCCTACATCACCCAAATTGGGCCTCTTCTGAGGCCTCAAAGAGCTTGCTTGACTTTAAATAAATATTTAGCAAATCAAGCAAATCAAAATCAGAAAGGCTAATGTACAAAATGCGTTACACCTAGCAAGGGACATAAAAGGCATGAAGAAGGGGTTCTTTAAATACATTAGGAGCAAGAGAAAGATGAAGGAAAGTATAGATCCTTTACTTAGTAGGGAAGGAGAGCTAATAATGTGTGACTTCAAGAAGGCTGAGGTGTTTAATGCCTATTTTAACAGGGACCAGATACTAAACACAATTAATAGCAACAACAAGGGCGAAGGAACACAAGCCAAAATAGGAAAGAACAGGTTAAAGAATAGTTACATATGTTAGAGGTAATAGTCAAGTCAGCAGGGCCTGATCAAACTCATCGTAGGGTACTTAAGGAACTAGCTGAAGCAATCTTGGAACCATTAGCACTTATCTTTGAGAATTCGTGGAGGACGAGTGAGGTCCCAGAGGACTGGAAAAGGGCAAACATAGTACCTATCTTTAAAAAGGGGAACAAAGAGGACTCAGGGAATTATAGACCAGTCAGCATAACTTTGATACCTGGAAAGATACTGGCACAAATTATTAAACAATCAGTATGTAAGCACCTAGAGGACAATAAGGTTAACCAGCATAGACTTGTCAAAAACAAATCATATCAAACAAACCTAATTTCCTTCTTCAACAAGGTTACCGGCTTAGTGCATAGGGGTGGGGCGGGGTGGGCAGTAGACATGATATATCTTGATTTTAGTAAGGTTTTTGATATAGTCCCACATGACATTCTCAAAAAAAAGGGGGGATGTCTACTCAGCGCTGGTGAGGCCTAAGCTGGAGCACTGTGTCAAGTTCTGGGCGCCTCACTTTAAGAAAGATGCAGACAAACTGGAGAGAGTCCAGAGGATAGCAACAAAACCGATAAACAGTTTAGAAAACCTAGAGTATCAGGAAAGGTTAAAACAACTGGGTATGTTCAGTCTTGAGAAGAGAAGACTGAGGGAGGACCTGAAAACAGTCTTCCAATATGTTAAGGGCTATTGTAAACAGGATGGTGATCAGTTGTTCTTCATGTGCACTAAAGGTAGGTCGAGAAGTAATTGGCTTCATTGGTAGCAAGGGAGATTTTGGTTTTATATTCGGGAAAACTTTCTAATGTTAAGGGGAGTTAAGTTCTGGAATGGGCTTTCAAGGGACATTATGAAATCCCTGTCACTGGCAGACAAACACTTGTCAGGGCTGGTCTAGTTTACTTGGTCCTGCCTCAGGGCCGGGGGCTGGACTCAACGACCCTTCCAGCCCTACAGCCTATGATATGTAAAACATTTTGTTCCTCGTCATGCACCTTCGCACTGTCTGTCTGGTGTGGAAAGTGGCACCAGTGCGAGATAACCTCAGGTAGCTGATTACCTGCTCTTCCTGGCCTGTCCCCTGCCATTCCCGCTTCTAGGTTAGGACACGTCACTGCAGGACTCAACTCTTCCTTGACTGGCCCTTTCATCACCAGGATTGTTCAGACCCAGGACAGCCCATAGGAGCAGTTCCACTTGTGGGAGCTGTAGTGTAAACAAGGCTCAGGAGGGCTCCTAGGCTTTCACCAGAATGGTCTTATCTAGACTGAGATTTAAATCTGTGATATTAACTAGCTCTATCTAATTAACGCCTTCTAAAACTCCAGTCAAGACAAAGTCATTGAATTTTAGCATATGCTAAACTGTTCTAGC